TGGGGATATAGAGGTAAATAGAAGTTACATTTTAAATAGGAGAGACAGATAATAAACAGGCAAATATGGGGTGTCCAAAAAAATGTGTACCTACTTTTTTCTGATAGCTCAATTCATGTTTCCTTTCTTTTTCTTCCCCAGATTTAACCCATTGGAATTGATCATTATTCAAAGTGCGTATACATTTTTGGGACACTCCATACATGCAAAAGTTACTTCCAAGTGGTGTGCCTGCCCTGAAGGATGAGAGGAAGACCGGGACAGAGAGCATAGGCAAAAGGACATGGCATTTGAGTTTAGAGGGGGAAGAGCAGAACTGGGGGGAGGAATCTGGCTGGAGGGAAAAGAAAACTTAAAGCTGTGAAACATATTCTATTGGAGGCATTCTGGTGACTGAGACAACCTCCCTTCATTCCAGCATGTCACTGGTTGCCCCACATCCAGTGATAAGGGCAGTGGCTAGCACAAGGTAGACACTGGCAAATATTTGTTTTAGTTGCACTGGGTTGGAACTCAGTGGCAAGATAGGAAAAATAACCAAAAAAGTCAGTATGATGCCCTACCCGGTTTGGCTCCGTGGCTAGAGGGTCGGCCCTTGAACTGAAGGGTCCTGGGTTGGATTGCAGTCAAGGACATGGCCATTGGTTGCAGGCTCAATCCCCAGCCCTGGACAGAGGCAACCCATCCATGTGTCTCTCTCACATCGATGTTTCTCTCTCTGTATGTCTCTCCCCCTCCCTTCTACTCTCTCTAAAAAATAAATGGAAAAATATCTTCGGGTGAGAATTAACAAACACAAAATCAGCCTGATAAGTATGTGCTTTAATGAGGCCGTCGGCTGGCTTCTCAGCCACACTTGTGAGTGAATCCAACAGCAGCTGCCCTGGCAGTTAGTTCCTTGCATGTGAGAACTACTCGCTCTATTCACTTGTTGCAAAATTCAACTTTTGCACAAGAAAGGCTCCTGTGCCTGGCTCCTCATCAGAATCAGCTAGGAACGGCTACAGTTTCAGATTTGCTGGCCACACCCTGGCATCTAATTGAGTAAATCTGGGGTGGGGCCTGTGCCTCCTTATTAAAAAGTAAAAATCCCCAGGCGGTTCTGATGCTGAGATAGTGTGGAGACACTGTTCTTTCTGGAAGATCCGGTGGAGTCATCCCAATCCATTCACGCTGTACACAACCCACAGTTTGAGTGTTGGTTCTAGGACGGGACGTTCCCTGAAGATGCAAGCATAGCATCATTCCAAGCTACCCACTCTTGGAAGAAGTGTCCAAAGGTGCTAGAGTCTGTGGTTGAGAAACACATTCTGCAAATTCCAGCCGTGCCTGTTTCTATCATCTTTCTCACATTTTGCCATCTGCACACCCCACATTATTTATTCTCTATCATCCCTTCACTATCTCTAGTCTTTAAACCTTTACATTATATCAAACTTTAGGTTGCTCACATAAATGGAGATCAGTATCTTTCACCAAGATAGAGGTAACCTTTAAGTGAATTCAATAAAAGCAAACCATTTTTTTTTAAAGTCTAGCCAGGTACTCTTGTCCCTTCCCAGATTCTAAGCCTGCGATCTATGGTTTATTGGTTGAAAAGTAAAAAGGTAGCAATTGTTAGGCATAGAAGACAGACTAGCCCCCAAAAGACTTTCTCAGCTTGAAGGGGAATAACTTTCACTGTGTGGTTCAGTGTGTTACAATGTCATGTCTAACCACTGAGCAACACCTGGGCACCAGGGTGTTCAGCATCCTCCTGGAGTAGCCAACATCTTTGTTGACAACCAAGCTAAATATTCTACAATTGGAGCAGCAGGAAAATAATGCAAATGAATAAAAACACTCCGGAAGACTGGGTCCAAGAATGTGTTGGTAGGCAGCTGAAGGATATGTTTAGCACAGGTATTGTAAGCCCCCTACCCCGTTACATAACCACCTACTGAGAAAGAGGAGAGGTTGGCGTAAACATTTGGAGAAAAATCCTAGGGAGAGGCCAGGAGAGGCTCTAGCCCAGAGTCAACTATTCCTGTCCATTCCGTCTGAGCCTGGGTCCAGCCCCCGATTTCCCTCTTTCCTGGTTCTCAGCCCTTTGGCTATCATTTCACCAGAAGCTTTTTGAAGGCAAGGACCCTATCTTACACATTTCAGCACCACCTGTGTTTGGGGCAATGCCTGGCGCCTAAGCAATATGGTAGGTGTTTGTTGAATGAATGTAATGTGAACACCAAACCCCCAGGCACGGCTTCCCTAGCACCGGGAGCAATCACCATGAGTGCCTGGTCTCAGTCACCGCGGGTTCAGGCCTCAAACCTCTCCCTCCCGACCCTGTTACTGTGTCCTTGATACAGAAGCCTGTGGGGCTTTACTCACCGAGCCCTGGTCCCTAGCACAGCACCCGGTAAGGCATATTAGGTAATTAGAATTAATTAGAATTAATACCCTTGTGCTGACATTGTCAACTATGAAGCAGGGTTTTGTCTGCCTTGGTTGCTTAAGGACTAAGCTGGGATTGGGCGGGGTTGGTTTGGGTGGAGGCAGCTTGGGTCACTTAGGGTGGGTGAGTTAACAGCTTGTACCTTTTACAGGAGAAGGAGAAATGAGCCTTTGCTTCCCGTTCGGGGATGTTCAAAATGATCAAGCGACACTTTGCAAACAGTGACAATAACAGGTTGTGGCTAACTAGCAAGATGGGGAAGTTATCTTTCCTCTAGCCCCAAAGAACAGTTAAGAAAAATGTTTGTGGGAACTAGGCATCCTTGGTAATTCCCCTTGAGTGAGGGCTAAGGTGGTAGGTGGGTGGTTTTTGGTGGCAGGTGTCCCAGGTGACACCGTTCGGGCCTCAGTTTTGGTGGGTACATGTGGGGGCGGTAGCAAAGAGCTGGCATAGTGAAACCCCATAACAATGACCCCATAACAATGGCACCCATTGAACTCCTCAATTATATTATATCTAAGCCTGAGTTGGCTTTTTGGTCACAATGTTGGGTGTGTCTGATTCTCCAAGAACAAAGGTAGCAGAAGTTCCCAAACTGGAGTGAGCAGGAGATTCGCTGGTGAGGGTGGGACTGCTTGTTCAAGGCGCAGAATCCTGAGCCTTCACCCGAAGTCTCTGATTCCCAAGGTCTAGGGCAGTAGTGCTCACCCAGGGGCAATCTTGCCCCGCAGGGGACATTGGGCAATGTCTGGGGACAATGTTGGTTGGCACACGGGGGTGAAAGGGCCTGGCACCTAGTGGGCAGAGGCTGCGGATGCTGCTAAACATCCTACATCGAACTAAACAGCCTCCACAACAACAACAACTGTGGCCCCGAACGTCAATAGTGTCAGAGTCAGCACACCTCGTTCTAGGGTTGAGCCTCGGGATGTGCATCTCAACAAGGGCTTCTGGGCATTGGACGCAGGAAGCGTTGCCTCTCTATTCGAAAGGCATCTCTGTTAGTGGCCCTTTTGCTTAGAAACCTCCATATTGAGGACTCAGTTTTGACTTGACTCTCCCAGGAGCCCTGCCTGATAACCATCCTCCTTTCCTCCACATCCCGGTCAACTACCCTCCTAGTCCACTGCCCGCCCAGCTGGCATCACTGGCCCCCTTATTGTTAGACTCTCCCGCGGGAAGGAGGGTTTCCTGAGACCTGGCCCAGCACCTTGGAAGCGCGGGGCCCAGAGCAGGGCTCAGTCACCACCTGCCCTGCAGTCTGCCTCCGCCTGACTGACACCTCCCGCGTTGAGTCTGCAGCTTCCCCTCCTTCAGAAATTTCCTTTGTGTATTTGGTTGCTTTTCATTCATTCAGCCAATATCTGATTGGGCACTTACTCTATGTCTTGTTCTTTGTCATCACTGGGGAGGTAACAGTAAAAAAAAAGGAAAAACAGAGAAACGGGGTGGCCAGTATGTGTGCCTGACACTGTAAGTAAGGCAGGCCTGGGGGGGGGGGGGAGATTTCAGCGAGGACTGGATACCTGAGAGTGACCAGGCCGCTCCTGCATTAAAATATAAACACTAAGAGGACCAGTTTCTTTCCTTTCTCTCGTGGCTGCTGTGTCTCCAGAACAGGCACATAATAGGTTCTCAATAAATACCATTTAAACAAAACAAAGAGAGGAATATGTGACTAAACTCTCACGGAGGCCGATGGGAGATTTTTGTGTTTATGACTATGCACTGATTAACAAGAACGGGGGAGGGACAGGGCCATCGTTAAACTTAAGGGGGTGGGGAGGACATCTTTGTGGCCAGATTGAGACTAGAGGATGGAGGTCATCACCAGATAAAGGGCCCTCCCCCTTACCCTCCGAAGCAAATCTAAGTTCTCAGCCTCAGAATATTGTCCCTGGTCCCTGCTGGTTGGCTGGCCTGGCCCCTTCCTGGCTTCCAGTTTAGCCATCACCCTGCCTCCTTTCCTCCCACATCCTCCTCCCTCCTCCCCTCCTCCCCCAGGGCTGTCCCTGCGCCTGGTGGGCAGGTACTCACCCTGGGACCAGGGCTCCCTGAGAACAGAAGCAGGGGCAGGGGTGCCAGCCCGCCCCGCCCCACCCCCAGCCCCGCTCCCTGGTGGGACACTGTCCCTTTAATAGACTCCCGCTGCCTGGCGCTCTGCGGCTGGGGAGTAAATTTCTCCGTGTGTGTGTGTGTGTGTATGTGTGAGTGTGTGTGTGTGTGTATGTGAGTGTGTGCATATGTGGGGGTGTGAGTGTGTGAGAGGAAGCGGGAGTGCGTGCGCGTGTGAGTGTGTCTGTGTGTGTGTGTGTGTGTGTGTGTGTGTGTGTGTGTGTGTGTGTGTGTGTGTGTGTGAGTGAGTGAGTGAATTCCAGATTTTCTGTCTTTCCCAAACCCGCGCCTGTCCTCTCGCGTATCACTCACAGCCGGGATCTGACAGCAGCCACAAACCTACAGTGAGTGATCGCTCCCCCCAGCGCGGATCCGCCATAGAGATCGCCAGGAGGAGGAGGAAGAGGAGGAGGTGCAGGAGGAGGGAAAGGGGCGAAGGAGGAAGAAGAAAAAGAAGAAGAAACCACTACCTTCCCAGGATCGCCTTTTTTTTTCCTTCCTTATCTTTACGCGCGCGTGTGCGTGTGGCGCGTGTGCGCCCCTCGTCCCTTCCATCCGAACCCGGTCTTGGATGTTTAATAAAGAAATCAAGTGTCTCAACAGTCACAAAAAAAAAACAAAAAACCAAAAAAATATATCCAAAAAAGCAAAAACAAAAAGAGAGAGAAAGAGAGGAAAAAAATTCAAAACAAACAAACAAACAAGGCACAGCCAACCTCTACTTCAAACCAGCCTGCACAAGCCACCCGTGTCTGCCACCCAGGAGGGGGGTCGCTGGCCCGCGGTGGAGGAGTTGCAGGGGGGATCGTCAGGGGGACAGAGGCCAAGACGCCCCAGGAGCCACCGGGCAGGAGACGGAGGAGACCCGGCAGGCGAGCGAGACCGCGGGCCCCGCGCGCGGCCGGGGCTGGGGCGCCAGAAGTGGGACTGGAGCGAAGTTGAGCGATGCCAAGGAGGAAACAGCAGGCACCCAAGCGGGCGGCAGGTAAGAGAAGGCTCCGATCTGGGGCTGCCCCTCCGCCGCTCTGTGCACAGAGCCCCTCGCCGCTCTCCTGGCCCTGGTGCCCAGGATGCCAGCCCCCCAGCTTCCTGGGGAGTCGCTCCCCGGTATCCCTCTCTGCCCCGAGTATAACCCCGTCCTCTCTCGCCTTCTCAGATCTCCGGAATCCTCCCCTCCGCAGGCTCTGGTGGGTGGGGGTGCTATCCCACCAAGCCTTCTCTCCTTAAACTTTTTTCCCTCTACCCTCTACCCCACCCCTAACTTTCTCCCAGTCTCTTTCTCGCTTCTTGGGCCAAAGTTGGGCTGAGGGTTTGGGGTGCGGAGTAGCAGACAGTCCTTCCACCCCCCCCCCCATTTCTCTGCCTGGTCAGTGCCAGGGCTCCTGGCCTGGAGGGACAGCGGTTTCCTCTCCCTGGGGTTGGGGCACTGGAGTGCAAGCCCTGCCCAAGCCTGGGCTGCAGGCTGGCTTTGGGATAAGCAATGGGAGTTTAGCTTTGATCGCCAAGGTGGAAAAAAACCGCTTCAGGAAACGCAGGAACCTTTGAATATGTTTGCTAAAAGGATCCACGTTTGGAAATCGAATCAACACTCTCCCTTCTCTTAAGGGGGGTGGGGGTGCCCCATAGAACATTGACACAGCTCTGGTTTTTCTTTGCCCAGAGAGAGTTGCAAACTTTGTAAATTGATTTGTATGGTAGGAACTATTCCATCTGAATCCTCACCTACCGCCACCCCACCTCACCCCCCCCCCAAAAAAAGAAAGGAACAGGTTAATGGATCAGTACAATAGACCTGCGAAAGGATTTTTTTTTCCTTTTGGGTTGCTTAATTGCTTTTTTAATAGTATGCTGGGGTTTTGTTTCTCGGAAGTGTAATATGAAAGTTCATTTTTCTCCTGCCAGACCCACCCACTGAAAAATCAGCTTTCCACTTGATTGCTAGTTTTGATTTGACATTTGATTGATCACCTGTCATCTCGCTGCCTTTGATCTATTCATTCTTGATATATATCAATAAATCACTCACCATGGTAACTCAGAGTGCCAGTGACGCAAGCCTTGCCCTCTGGATTCAGAGCCAGACATGCACAATTATTATCTTGTTTGGCTTTTAATGTGGGCGTTTTTATTTCTTTGTGTCCTTTGGTTGAATCGGGGCTCTAGCAAAAAGCTTCAGTTGTTTTTCTTCCCCGTCTGTCTTTACCCTCAAGCTTCAGGCAGCATCAGTGCAGGCTGGTCCCCGCGGACCCACCACCACACTTCTGTTTCTACTCGTGCAAAACATGGGAGAAGTTCGGTGGAGCACTTTCCTAAACTTTGCAAAGCCACCCTCAGAACAAATCCAAAGTTAGCTCCAAATCTGGGCAGAGTGGGTGTTTGTGTCTGAACAGGCTGGACCACCAAGCTCATCCTCCATCGTGGCCCGGTTCCAGCCCGAATGGCAGTGCATGTGCTTCGAGATATCCACAATTATCTTCCCTTCTGAGCGCAGAGCTGCTGCGTGGAGATTGCATGCGGAAATATCACTTATAAAGCTTTGATTCGTGCATTTCCCGATCGTTTCCCTTAGAGCAATATCATTAAAATGTTTTAGCACGATGCATATTTAGGACCTACCTAGTGAGTGAGGTGATCGTTTTACAACTCGACCTCTTTTGAAAACAGTGTCTCTCTCTGACCTAGATCCCTTTCTACATTGAACTGACTTATTTCTTAAACTTAGATTGCTCTGTGACCTGACAGCTTTTGGGGTGCACCCTGACCTCTGGACTCGGAAGAGTAAACCTCCTCTGTCTAGTTCTGGCAACACAAGTTTAAGTGTAGCTAGATTATTAGAGATAATGTCCTCATTGTTGTCCCAAAAGAGAACCCTGGGCAGCAGTCCAGAAAGAAGTGATACTGCCCTGAAAATGACTCTTTTTTTTCCCCCCTTGTTGTTCCGGTATAGGCCATCAACCAACTAGGCAGTAATTTAAATTACCAGAATGACTGGACATGTCTCCTTTGGTAGTAAGCTCATTACAAAAAGTGCACTGCTCAGAATTGCACTACTTTGATTATAATTATTTTCTGATCAATGAGGATCCAGGTGTACGTAACAGACTGCTGCATCACATTATTTAAATCAGGTCCTTTCATTAAGCTGATACCTCCTGGTGCTGGCCTGCCTGTGTGCTGTGGAGTGCGTGTGTGTGAGAAAGTTGTGACTGTAGTTTCAATTTTCTGGCCTATTGTATTCCTACTGTCTTTAGATGTTTGTTTTCGTGGTTTTTATTATTTTCACTGAAGAAGTAGAAACCCTTGTCAAGCTGAAAGGGAGTCATTCACTTCGTACACAGTGGGGCCCCTCCCGCAGTATTTATTTGCACACATATGAATAAAGCGGGCATTTTCTCAGGGAATGTTTCTCTCCCCTGAAGTCATTGGTGCTATGCTGTTTCGGCCGAGGTGGCTATTCCCGAGGAAAGTTCGCTACTTTGGGATTCTTTAGCCAGTTAACGTGCAGCGGGAGGCAGAAGGTGGGTCCTAGGAGTAAGGCCATCCTAACTGGTATCACGGCTTAAAATTAAACACAAAGCACAACTGTAAGTAATTACTCCCCGGGCCTGATGTTGAAAGCGTGATTTCCAGCTTGATTAATGAATAATGTAAGATAGAAAAAGCCTGTGAGTGAATCCGAGCTGAGACTCTCCTTCCCAAGCCCTGTGTGAGGCGATTGGATGCCTTTGCATTATTAGTTTTAAGTTCCATGTTTCAAGGAATCAATTAGCGAGCTTTCTAATAAAGCAGGGATCCAGATAGAAGGAGCGAGATGATACAATGGTGGGGGGTTTTAGTCCTTATTTGTCATATTCCTCCCCCCTCAAAGGGAAGCGATCTGAGGTAGGCAGTTCTCTTTAAGGAAACAGCTAAGGCAGAACATTTCCCAAATGTCGTTCTTCCTGACTTCCTAAAGCTGTGCTGTTCTACCATACTGTTACTTCGGGCACGGGGAAAAAAAAGTTTAGAAAGTAGCCTGCGGTACCCCAGGGGTTTGTGGAAATATTGCAGAATTCTATGCGGGCATCTCTCCCCCCCGCCCCCGCACCCTGCCCCCCTGTCCATTTTAGGGAAGATGGAGAAGATGGCAGGAAGGTAAAACAAAACAGAACAGTATTGGCTTTGTTTGTATTTTGCAGGATACAGAGTAGTTCACATTTTTAAATCGTAGATTGACACGCTACCGGGTCTGTTTTCTACAATCCATCACGGTCTCTGTACACACACGTGTAATACATATTTTATTTCGCCATCCCGAACTATTGTTTTCGTGTCATGCCAGCCGACTGTGGGACAACGCAGAATATTTGGGGATCGTCTCCAGGCGAATGTCTAATGCGTCTATAAATGATAGGATTCTGCTCCTGCCCACCCAGGGAGATGAAACACTCCTTCTTGCTGACTCTCACAAGCTCTCTGACGACCCAGATCTCGGCAAAGTCTGGCAGGAAGGAACAGCCCCCTCGATTTATTGTGTTTATTTACTATAGAGATGAATAATGCAGGTTTTGTTTGCATGGATGTCCTTGTGTAGCAGTAAACATGAGACTATTAGCAATCATTACTTAAAAGTTGCAATTTGCACCTTAATAGCACAGGTTATTTACATGGGAAACATTCAGCAGGGACCATCAGGGTACCGCAGTGGAGAGGAGAGATGGCCTGAGCAGTCTGCTTTCGGCCTCGCGACAGCCAGCGGTGGCTGGATGCACCCGTGAGGTCTCCGGGAGGGAGGGGGCAGGGGCTCAGGGGGAAGCTTACCTGTAATTCACTAGCAAGTGGAATGAGATTCAGGAGAGTAGGAATTGGGGGGACGGGACCCTGGACCTCTCACTTTGTTTAAACATACTTCTGAAAGCCAAGTTCACATCTTGGAGATGTAAATACCACATGCTATAGACCCCCTTCACTTACTCAAACAGCATGCATTTAACAGATGAATGGGAATAATGAGCACACACCCCCCCCCCCCGCCACACACACACACACACACAGGGGGTCAGCGGCATGAACTGTCCTGGCTGGTCTGGTTATTTAAGGCAGATCCCTGAACAAATGAAGGACAGATGCCTTACGTGTGCAGCCTCCACACAGTGTTTTGGAGGGACATCGATTACTTAAGTGGTCTCCTCCCCAGCCCCGTCCTGACTTCCTTCTCCCACCCTCGCCTCACCCTTAAAGACTCAGATTGAATGGGACGTTTCAAAAGCCCATTTGTTTTAGGCATTTATTGATTTCATTTTTAATCTGCCATATCAGGACACAATACATTAACCCTAATCAGCAGATTGCAAGTGACAGGGAGTGGGAGTGGAAGCAGGTAAGGGAGGGGGTGCTCTGAGAAACTTCTGGACAGTGAAGCCCCCCTTGAGATTGGGGGTCAGACACTGGGGCTTACTTTTGAGGAGGGCCGGAGCATTCCTCAGAAATACTGTGCATCTGTCTTTCTACCAGCCATCTCCGTTCTATTGCGAGATTCTATTGCTACCGTGAGGGGAAACTTCACACCCAACAAATACCTCCCAGGCATCTTTAGCAGATCTGCCCCTTGAAGCATCTTGCCTTTTGTCACCTTCCCCAACAGAGGGTTATGCTATCGTTTTATCTCAGCTGACTTCTCACTCCTTTGATGGAATTTCTCCAACTGGATAATACCTGGGATGATCTATTTATCTTCCCAGTGGCTTGGGAATTGTACTCTCAATTGAGCAGGTTTTAAAGGGGCACCGAGCCTGGCATTCTTCAAGGCCGGGGATATGATGCACTTTTGCTCCTGGCTGGGGCTGAGCTTAGGAGAATTTGCCAGGAAGAAAACCCAGGCCCTGTCCATGTGGGTGCCGGGGCTGTAATCAGCTGACAGGACCCATGTTAACTACCCCGGGGGCAGCTTCCTTTCCATCCCGTGTTTGTACTATCAATTTTATTTAGGTATGTCATGGTCTGGGA